ATGTGTATATATATATAAACTAGCATTGATTTGTACTCTTCAGAGTAGTATTTCTTAAAGTAGTAGTAAGTTTTTTGTTTGTTTGTTTGTTTTAGTGTAGGATATTTCATGAGTCCTAATGGGAAGGAATATCATTTTTGTTGAAGTTTATTTTAGTCAAATTGTAATAATTTGTGCTTTTTTCTTAAACATTAAAATACATTATTTTAAGCCTAATTTTACTATCATTAACAATACTTTAAACCTGTAATATCTTCTGCTTACAGTGGTTCTCAGATTTTCTGATTTTAAATGTTGCTAACATACCTTTATGTTTTTAAGAATTGTTCGAACATTAACAGTACACATATGTATAGTACTGACAGCAGTTTTTGCTCGTAGCTATCCTGTCTTCACAGGAGAAAGCTGTGCGCTACTATTATAAAATTTGCTTAAATGGGACAAATAAAATGTTAATTACATTTAACATAATGATAATGAATTTTGTTTATTCTTAGGTCTGGAGAAAATGATGTAGAATATAACAACATGGAATTGGAAGAGGGAGAACTCATGGAAGATGCAACTGCTTCAGGACCTCCAGGTACGGCAGCCAAGCCCCACAGCCATTTTGTCTTGTCTCTTTGGTCTTTTTTGGACCATGTTATATTTTAGTAGGTGGTAGCCAGTGCTCTACATGTTTTGTGGTATTACAAATGCTATATTTTAAAGTATGGATTTAAGAGTATACATGTATAGGTCCATTTTCTCACCACTCCCAAACAAACCACAGGAAGATATTTTTGGTGAACGGGAAAAAATGGTTTTATTTAAAGCTATCCCTTGACAAGATGGAGGGGACTTTATATTCTTGCCACAAATCACCATTGCACTGTACCCAAGGGCCTTTCTGGTAAGGAACAGAAGGGCATGAAAATAAGGCTATATTTATAAAGGCTTGCTTTATCCCACCAGCCATGTTCTGCTCACTTCTCTCCTGTGGAATAGAAACTGGACTTTCACATATGGTGGGGATTCTCGGGTGTTAGTAATCTGTTTCTTCATCTTGGTGTGATTGCTTTGTGAATACTGGTTAGGCTGTACACTTACATTTAAGACATACATGTACATATGCACAGAATGGTGGCAACATTAACTCTTAATAGGGAAACAGATGCTAAGGCCATTGATGTCTATCCTGGGATATGACAGTAGAAAAGGAATGTTCATGTGGACAGGGAGCAGCCAAAGTGTGTAAACCCCAAAGAAAGGAGTTTCTGTTGAGTGGTGAGAGTGGTGGCCTTGAAGAGCAGTGAGAACTCGGAGACTGCTAACTACTTTTTTACTTTACATATACATGGGAGACTGAGCAACTTATATTTTTAAAGGAATCCTAGGTATCACACAATAGATACCATATCCCCAGAATACAAGATTTCTTATACGTTATGACCACCTATAGTTTACCATACATCATAACCACCTAAGTAGCTTTTTGGAAATAGATCCTCAATCCTGTTCCAGTATTGTCAGTCAGTATATCTGCAGTAGAGCAAGGAATGTTTTAATCTTCTCCTCTGACCTATATACAGCCTACTTTGGGAATTTGTAGAAAAAGAAGAGGTAACAGTTCCAGTGTGAAGAGGGGATAGTTTTCTGCAATTTAATGGGAGTCCTTGTGGGCACAGGGACTGGGAAAAAAAATTGGCAGTGTCATAAATTAGCAGCGACATTATTAGGATGTCATTTCTTATCCTAAGAAATAAGAAGTGGAAGACAGTTGAGGACAAAAGAATTTGAAAACAAGTGAAGAACATGCAAATTACTAGTTGGCCCAAAGCTTTAAATAATAGAACTTTTCCCTGAAATTATTTTGGGCTGAACCTCTCATACATACTCGTGTGTCAGGACCAGATTTACTTAACTTACGTACACACCTATACTCACACACACACATATGCGCAGTTTTATGTTTTGTTTTTCTTAAATGATAATAGGGATTTAACCTGTGGTCTTTGCACTGAGCCTAATTTATCTCCATCCTCTACCCCTTTCTCACTAAGTTGTTTAAGTTCTCAGTTGCCCTGGCTGGGTTCAAACTTGGAAACCTCCTTCCTTAGCCTTGCAGAATGCTGGGATTACAGGAGTGTGCCACCAGGTCTGCCTGGACCTAATTATATTATCTTGGTGTTACCTACTTCTACTTCAGATTTTCTTGCATATGTAGCACCGTGTGTGTGGTGTGTGTGTGTGTGTGTGTGTGTGTGTGTGTGTGTGTGTTTTCCTCAAATGTAAACACAGCCTCTTCCATGGTAAGTAGTCGCTCTAACACTAATGTAAATATTTTGTCTCTTTAGAATATATTTAAATAGCTTTATTGAAGAAGGTCAGTTTTAAGCAGTATTTTCATACCTCATTGCTAGGTATTGTAATAGTCACTAGAGAAAAGTCAGATGCTTTCCATGGCTTTAGATGCCAAGAAATGTAGATGTCTATAATGTGTACCAGTCATTAACAAGTTCAGTCAAAAAACCTCAAATTGTACTCTAATATTAATCAAGCCAGAAAAAAAAGTCTACCAAACTGTCATAGCCTGAACATTTTACCATCCAGAGACTTGCGGGTAATTCTTATTTTGGGGTCTTATTCTTTGGAATCTGTTACACCATGAGAATTTATTTTCTTTGATTTAAGACTTGTAAGTCATAAGACACAACCTCCTTTTTCCTGCCCTTGCCCCTCCTCTCCTCAGTTGTGCACATTGTACACATGTGTTGTCTTTTTATTTTAGGGCTCCAGATGAAGTTGATCATTGCTTTTGAATTCTGGGTATTAATAAGACCACTACTTAATCACTGTGATTTGGTATATCTGTCTCTTAGTGCTTCTCGTCATGAACATGAACTCCTAAGAGACAGATGTGTAGACCTTGTTCAAGCAACATTAACCACATCTTTTCTTTTATGCATACTTAAATTTGTACAAATACACATTTTCTACATCTTTCTTTGCAGGTAGTAGCCATGGGTATGTGGGTGCCAGCAGCCGAATGTCAAGAAGAGCACATTTATGCTCTGCTGCTACCAGTAGTTTATTAGACATTGATCCTTTAATCTTAATACATTTGTTGGACCTTAAGGACAGGAGCAGTATGGAAAATTTGTGGGGCTTACAGCCTCGCCCACCTGCCTCACTTTTGCAGCCCACAGGTAAAATAACTTCATTTTTCTTGTTCTGTAAGAGAACCATTAGATTTTCATCTATGTATTTCATCTAAGTGGAAACAGTGTATTTCTGTAGCAGTTAGGTTTTTCATTGTATGCCACAATAGTGACATACCAATCAAATTACCTAAAGGTGTTATATGTAGAAACAAATTAAAGATGTCTTTTAGGAGATTTTTAATGAGTTACCATTTATATTGTCTAATTGATAGTTTAATCTAGTGGTGGCAAACCCCATGGCATGTGTGCCACAGCAGACCATTTGTGTCACTGAAAGCTCTAGAAGGTTTGCCATCAACAGTTTAATCCATATATAAGTACAGTTGTCTTTTTTGTGAATGAGGTTAGAGTTTTTCAAACCTAACTTCCAAGAGGAACTGTGTCTAAATTGAACATACAAAAATATGTTATTCATATGCTGTTGTTCATAAAAAATGTATGCCAATTGGCAGCAGTGTTTAATGTGCAAAAGTTATATGTTAAAGAGAAATTATAGCTGGATGTGATGGTGCACACCTGTAATCCTAGCACTCAGGAGGCTAAGGCAGGAGGATTGCTGTGAGTTGGAGGCCAGCCTGGACTAAACCAGTGAGTTCAAGGCCAGCCTGCACTACATAGCAAACCCTGTCTCAAAAAACCAGAAATAATTAAATAGACAGATTGGAGCTGTGTGTCTTAATCTGCATTTTCTGAGACCCTCAGAGATAGTTATTTTTAACAGCTAAAAACTTACCATTAAAACTTAGGTTTTAAAAACTTTATTGATGTTTTATAAAATATATTCCGTATGTTAACAAAACACACTGAACTTTACCTTCTTAAATAGTAGTATATATAAATCAAGTCTGTCTGTACAATAATTTTGTTGTTCCTTTTTACCTACAAAATTTTAAGGCAGAACCTCTATAGCAAACAGAAATAGAGTTGCTGCAGTAAGATGAAGAGTAGTCTTTTTCTTTTTCAAGTACTGTGTTCTTCCAGAATGGGTCTTGGTTTCTCTCTCTCTCTCTCTCTCTCTCTCTCTCTCTTTTTTCTCTCTGTCTCTCTCGTTTTCTGAGACAGAGTCTCACTCTGTACTTCAGACTGGCCTTGAACTCACTCTGTAGTCCAGCTCACGACAGTCCTTGTGCCTCAGCCTCTGGAGTGCTGGGATTACAGGCATACACAACTGTACCTGGCCCACCAAAACTTTTTGAGCATTGATACGATGTTAAAATTGTTTGGGATTTTAAACTATTTCAGGATTTTTTGGATTAGGGATGTTCAGCCAATAAAATCTATACAAAAAGTCTAAAATCTGAGTCACTTTTGTTCCTAGCCATTCCAGTCATTTTGAATAAGGATACCTTATAATGCTGGGTTGGGGTACATTTGCAGTGGAGGTAGAAGATAAAGCCCCTGATGGATAAGGCAGGATTGGATAATGTAGGGTCCTATGTACCATGTCAGTTCTTCCTAAATGCTATAGAATTCCATGTGATGATTCTAAACAGAAAGTAACACCTAGTTTGGGTTTCAGAAAATTGCTCTGGCAGCAACCTGTTAGAGTTATGTATACCCTCTAGCTATTCAGAGACTAAGGCAGCAGGGTGGCAAGTTCAAGGCCAACCTGGGCAATTATTTATTTATTTATTTATTTATTTATTTATTTATAAGAGTAAAAGAAGGATAACATAGTAATAGGGGGATTTACTGAATTACAAAGTGGTAGGACAGTGTCAATGGTTGTTATTTTACCTATTGGTGTCTTCAAGATAGTTTCTCAGGAAAACAAATAGACAATAGTGAGTTACAGACAAAAATGGTAGGAAATTATCAGTGATTGTTGTACTATACTTTGGTTTCTTCAAAGTGGTTTCTAGGGAAAACAAATAGAGCTATACATGAGTGATCAATTAAATAATCATTGACTATTCTCAATGGTTGTTGTTGAAAACACATAGTAATAAACATACATCCATTTATGAAATAGCATAGCAACAATAGAAACATTACAGAGTTATGGACAGATTGGTAGGAAATTATCATTGGCTGCTATAATAGATGTTGGTATCTTCAAAGTGGTGTCTCAGGAAAATAAAGGTATGCAAGGAAGTTCTAACAAGTAGTTACAGCCTAAGCAACCTGGGCAATTTAGTGAACCCTGTCTCACAGTGAAAATTAAAAAGGGCTTAAAGTGTAGAGCAGTAGTAAAGCATTTGCCTGGCATGCACAAGGGCCTGGATTTAATCCCCAGTACCGCAAAAAAAGGGAAGGTACCTGCTCTGATATGGTGGTGGACAGTGGATTATATGAGAACAATGCTTCAGGGTTCTTTCACAAGTATAGACTCTTCTGAGCCTTGAAGCAATGCTTTTATTTTATATTAGCAATAAGTTCAAGCCTTTCAACTTTTATTTTATTTTAATTAATTATTTATTTAAATTTCCTTTTTTTTTGGTCTTTTTGAGACAGGGTCTCACAATACAGTTCAGGCTGGTTTTGAACTCATTTTATAGCCTAGGCTGGCCTACAACTCCAAAGGATCCTCCTGCCTCAGCCTCCCGAGTGCTGGGGTTACAGGCCTGCGCCACCATACCCAGCTAAACTTTTATTTGTTTGTTTGTTTGTTTATTTTGTCTTTTTGAGACACCTCTCTCACTATGCAGTTCAGGCTAGCCTTGAGCTCATTTTGTAGTCCAAGCTGATCTCAAATTTGCAACAATCCTCCTGCCTCACCCTTGAGTACTGGGCTTACAGGTGTGCATGCACCATCATGCCTGGCTTTAAACTTTTGAAATTAAGTATATAATTTAGAGTTGTATGATTACCATGTGACTCAAACTCTTAACTTTAAAGGTGCAAATAAAGTTAGGACACTGGGGTTTGTCTGGATTTTCATTAATGGAATTTAATGCTTAATTTTTTACATATACCATCTAAAACATCTTAGCTTGTTTTTTTGAGGAGGGTACCGGGAATCAAACTCAGGACCTGGTGCTTGCTAGGCAGGTGCTTGTGCCACTGAGCTATATCCCCACCCCCCTTAGCTTGTTTTATACATTTGTATATGGTCATGGTACAAAATGATGTCATGAGTGTTAAAATTTATATTAACATGACTTTTTTACTGCTCTTTGAAGCATCATATTGTCGAAAAGATAAAGACCAAAGGAAGCAACAGGCCATGTGGCGAGTGCCCTCTGATTTAAAGATGCTGAAAAGACTCAAAACTCAAATGGCTGAAGTTCGATGTATGACAACCGATGTGAAGAACACACTTTCAGAAATAAAAAGCAACAGCACTGCTTCTGGAGACATGCAGACAACACTTTTTTCTGCTGACCAGACAGCTCTGGCTGCATGTGGAACTGAAAACTCTGGCAGATTACAAGATTTGGGAGTGGAGCTCCTGGCAAAGTCATCAGTTGCCAGTTGTTACATCAGAAACTGTAAGTAAAATATTCCTATTAGTGTTACTTCTGTACATACTATTTGAAAAACTAAAAGGTTATTTTGAAGATAACATCTAAGTGATTCTCTTCCAGTAAAATAACAGATACATGCAGGCTTTTCTCCTATCCAAAACTGATTCTTTGTATTTTCTTTTTTTGTTATTATTATTTTTGTGTTTTGGGTTTTTTTTTTTTTTTTTTTTTAGTACCAGGGATTAAACTCAGGACCTTGCGCTTGCCAGGCAGGCGCTTCTGCCACTGAACTATATCCCTGGCTGTATTTTCTTTTATATAGTAGAACCAAAGATTTTTTTTTTTTTTATGGCCCTGATATTGAAATTGAACCTAGTGCCTTTGTGCTGAGTTACATCCCCAGTCTTTTTTTTGAATTTTTCATTTTGAGACAGGACCTCACTTTAGTTGCCCAGGCTGATCTCAAACTTTGGATTCTCCTGCCTCAGCATCCCAGAATACTGGAATTGCAGGTGTGCACTACCAAAAATGAATTTAAACTTTTTTAACATTATATGACACTGTCAAAGGAGTAAAAGGCAACTTGCACATTGGGAGAAAATACCTGTAGTCAAGTTCCCTGTGCTTTGGTGTCATGTCCAGAAAAGCATTGCCAAATCCAATGTCATGTATAATGTACTTAATTCAAGTCAGTCTGTTTGTTTGTTTTGTTTTCTTGAGACAGAGTCCCCAGTATTCAGTTCAGGCTGGCCTTGAGCTCACTTTGTAGCCCAGGCTGATCTTGAACTCGCAAGGATCCTCTTGCCTTGGCCTCCCGAATGCTGAGATTACAGGCATGTGCCACCATGCCTGGCTCTTTTTTTTTTTTTTTTTTTTTGGTACCGGGAATCTAACTCAGGACCTTGTGCTTGCCAGGCAGACGCTTGCGCCACTGAGCTATATCCCCGGCAATCTGTTCAAATACACATATACTTCAGAATTTCAGAATAACTCTCATATTCATTTTCTTCATATAAGTCTTTGTATGTTTTATGAAATTTACTACTGGACATTACTTCTTGGGCTTTTGGCTAAGATGAAGTGGGTTACTGGATATGTCATAAGCCTAGTTTGCTAGTGTGGTTGGGATCCATTTCTCCCCCAAGTATTTTCTGGTTATTTGTTATTGGCATATAGTAAAGGTACTTGGTTGCTAATGTTTATCCTGTTAGCCAATTCATTTTTTTTATTAATCTGTAAAGAGTTTTATTATACTATTCTTAACTCATTTGAGTTTCATTTCTGTGCCTTTTTCACAACATCAGAAACTTTTGCCCTTTTCTGTGCTGTAAACTATTTTAAGCATATTATGTGCTCTTTTTACTTTATTAAAATTTACCAAGCCATTAGTTTGGTGAAACGCATTCATAAAGCCAACTCTGGTAGCTCTTTCAGGAAGAATTTTTAACAATTTCATTTCATTTCATTTTCAGTCTTATATTCCTGCTTCAATTTAAGCTAGTTTCTATAATTGGTTTTCTAAGAAAATTACTCATTTTATTATGGCTTTAAGTTTACCAGTATAAGGCCATTCACTATATTCTCTCAAAAAAAAATTTCAGCTGGCCACAGTGGTTTACAACTATAGTCCCAGCTACTTGGGAGGCTGAAGCAGGAGAATTGCTTTAGCCAGGAGTTCAAGGCCAGCCTGGCAATATACCACAACACATAAAAGCGATGAGAGTTTTTTTCAGTATTTATTTACATATTGCATATCTGAAAAAATGTGAATAATGAGACTGAGGTGATATTATCACAAGTTAGAGGATAGCCTATATTACAGAGCAAAACCCTGTCTCAAAAAAACCAAAGCTTGAATGAAATGAGCTTTTAACAGGAAGTAAGAAAATGCCCAGAGACCTGCCTTTCTCAGGCACGTAGGGGGAAAGGAGTCTTAATTAAGAGCCCTTAGAGATTGATATCTTGATGGCAGAACTTTAGATATTTCAATCACTTGCCAAGGAAGTGCCATATTTGCTCTTCATTATTGTCTTTATTCAGTAAAAATGATACCAACTCAACTAATGTTCTTGCTTCCTCTGTAATATAATGGAAAGGGCTATCACATATCTGCATAATTGTGCAATTTTAATATATGTGCTGCCAAAATGAGCATAATATTTGTGCAATTTATAGCCTCTCCTTTACATTTCTTCATAAGCAATGCTTTCTTACATTTGTGGTAGACCTAGTAACATCAAGAGCAAAAGCCTTGTTTGTGAACTCTGTGAGAAGCAAACTGGGTTTTTGGTTTTCCCTGTGACATCTTACAAAATCTGAACCAAGTAAGTGTAACTTTGGGGTACCCTGGTTTAAATTTCTGAAGTTCACCAGTACTGTGAAACTTTGGGGATTCAGAATCATCAACACTGCTAGCAGTTGATTTCCTATCTTGCTTCGCCCTCATCAGTAAGAGCCAGAGTTCCTTCACATAAATAACATCAACGTGAGAAATAGTCTTTGAGCCTGTTTCACAAACATCAGTAGGATCATTATCTCCACAGCACATTGTGCTGTTTTTGTTGGAGATCTTTTCAAATCTGAGAGGGCATCGTAATTCATTTATAACCTTGAAAGGGTAGATATTCATTCACTGCATGATGTAGCTTGCCATCCTTTATGTCTTGCTTAATGGGATTCACTGGCTGTTTTTATGGAAGTTTCCATTTTAGCATTTTGTTCACCAACGTACTTCTACAATCATATTAAATAACTCTCATATTCAGCATTTTGTACTTTCAGGAAGCAGCAGGGCCTCCCATTGAGCTATATCCTCAGCCTTTAATTTTTTTTTTAAAAGTTGAGTATTGTGGTACACATCTGTAATCCCAACACTTGAAGGCTCGAGTCAGGAGGATTTGCTTGAGCTTTAGGCCAGCCTGGGCTACATAGTGAGAGCCTGTCTCAAAAAAAGAAAAGAAAATTCAGACAAGGTCTCTCCAAGTTACCCAGGTACTCTAGAACTTGCAGTCCTCCTGCCTAGGCCTCCTGAGTAACTTCTGACAGGCTTGTGCTACCATGCTCAGCATCGTCATCTACTTTCTTTGTAAGAATGCCATTTTCTGACTGCATGATCTTAGACAAGTCAGCAAAATGCCTTCGGCCTTGGATTTGGGTTGAGTCCATTTCAGAGGAGTATCATAAAAGAGGGAAATGTAGTGAGCAGCTGCACTTTTGATGAAGAGACAGTGATCATGCAAGTGGGGCTGGCCAAAATTCTCCATGCCATGCGGGTTCATAGGATACATTTCCCCTCTCCACCGCAGATGGGACCCCCATGTGCCCATTTTCTTAAATTTTTAAAACTTCTGCAAAATATAAGATGTTAATTTCTCTTTTACTTATTTCATCTAGATCTCTGGTAACTACTAATGAACTTTGTCTCTGGGTTTACATCTTGTGGACCTTTCACATAAATGAAATCATGCAATATGAATTTCTTTATACCAGGCTTCTTTCACTTAACACAACCTTTTCAAGGTTCATTTGTGTTGTAGCACATTATTCTTTTTTATGGCTGAATAATACTTCATTGTGGAACATATTTTTTATCTACTCATTAGGTAGTTGGCATTTGTGTTATTTCTACCTTTTGCTATTGCTGGTAATGCTGCTATGAAAAATCATGTACAAGCTTTTGTATGGATATATGTTTTTGTTTATCTTAAGTATATACTTACAAGTGCAATTATTGGTGTTATATCCAGTAACCTTCCTAACTTATTTATTATCTATTAATAAATCTCATGCTTTTTTCTAATCTTTTGAATATGCATATTAGCCCGAGAATTTCTGTATTATTTCTGATGAATGCATTTTAAGGCTGTCCATTTTCTTATCATTTGACCACAGATTTTTTATTTGAAGTATTGTAGTTGTGATTTGTTTCTAATTCAGAGTTGATTTTCTTTTTAATCAAGTAGCATAATTTCCCAGAGTTTTGGGGTCATATTTTTCCCGACTTAGTTTAATTAAATTGCCTTGAGAATGGTATGGTTTTTCTTGTGAGGTCATAGTTAATCTTCATAGTTAATCTTCCTAGTCTCATAGGAATACTTCTATCATAGAACCACAAATAAATTAGTTGGAACTATAAAATACTTGTTTATTTTTGAATGATATAAACATAAAAGCTTCCATGTATGGTAAGAATAAGCCTTCGTTTAAGTAGTGAGTCTTATGCTACTTGATCATATTCCAAAATGTTTCTAAATGTCTTTGCAGCTACAAATAAGAAGAGTAATTCACCCAAGCCAGCTCGGTCCAGTATAGCAGGTAGTTTATCACTTCGAAGAGCAGTGGACTCTGGGGAAAATAGTCGTTCAAAAGGAGACTGTCAGACTTTGTCTGAAGGTAAATTTGAGGCATTCAGAATATAGTTTTGGTGAGTAAATACCAGTTATTGGAAATTGATATTTGAAGTATACCTTCAGACTGAAAGAAATCACTGAAAATGCTGAAGTTCTACGTGTAGTCTCACAACAGAACAGACCCTGGACTCCTTCATTTTAAGTACCTGGTTGGTACTTACATTTTTATAAAATTGGTACTTATATTTTTAAATATATTTAAATTTTGAAGTTTTTACTTATATATGTACATATATGTTGAGATTTTCTAATATGACAAAGAGAAAACTTTCATGTTTATTTTCTTCTTCCTTCTTTGAATATTCTTCCTTTTCTGAAGGCTCCCCAGGAAGCTCTCAGTCTGGGAGCAGGCACAGTTCTCCCCGAGGCTTGACACATGGCATCGTGAGTGATATCCTGCCCAAAACCGAAGACTGGCAGTGTAAAGCTTTGGACTCAGATGCTGTTGTGGTTGCAGTTTTCAATGGCTTACCTTCTGTTGAGAAAAGAAGGAAAATGATAACCTTGGGGTACATAAAGTTCTTTTGTAGTTTGGAATATTAAGTCTACATCATAATGAACAAATGATTTTCTACTTTAATTTTTTAGTTGGTGGAAAATTCATTTATTGCATTTGCATGTAACTTTTTAAACTATTGGAGACCCACTTCTTTTTTTTAATAGGGTGAGATTGTACCAGAAGTTCAGGTTAAATATGTTAGAGTTCATTTTCATGGAAATTAGGATAACAGTGATGTATATAACCTGTGTGAACTCTGCTTTGTGAGATTTGTGAGATTTCTTGGGGAGTTTTTTTTTTTAATCTGTCCCATACCTTTCAAAGACTTTTGTGCTAGGCTATATGTGTTACAGTTATGTCATATCTATTTTATGTGGAGCAAAGTACTTCTAGTTATCTTACTTTAACACTGCTTTTCTGCGTTTGGCCCACCTTTTTCTCTCTTACGAAAGCACGCTCAAAACTCGTAGTTGGACTTTCCCAAAGGATAATGGTAATTTATACTTTTATATCTGTCCCAGGAAACATAAACTCAAGTACCACCTATGTCAATTAAACTTCAAAAGAGAGAGTAACAACAGAATGTACTGTCTGGATATGCTAGATAAGCCATGTATTTCCTTCTGCTGATCTAGTTTATGAATATTAAATACATTTCTATATTTAAATAGTGGAATAGTTCTACATTGGAGACTTTTCAAAAAAAATTTGAATTAATAGAGAAAGACTGACATACCTTAAGTTTACTTAATTTCATATAGTCTTTTTTGGTTTTGTTTTTAGTACTGGGGGTTGAACCTCAGGGGCTTCATGCTGAGGTATGTGACCCCAGCCCTATTTAAAAATTTTCAGACAAGGTCTTAATGAGTCACTAAGTTGCACAGGCTGGGGTTGAACTTGGAATCCTGTTGCCTCTGCCTTCCAGGGTGCTAGGATTACAGGCATTTGCAGTCACATTTCATATAGTTCTAAAGCTTGTCATTACCAGATATAAACAATCAACTTGTAGTTTAGTTTCTGTTTGAGTTCAAATTTCACTAGTAGAAAGATGTGAAAATCACTGGCGATTATTTTGTCTGTCCCGTTACCCAGCCTGATAGTATACATGTTCCTTTCAGGTTGAAGCTGCAACTAGCTTTTATATTTGGTGGGGTTTTTTGATTTTTATTTTTTAATGTTTACTGCTGTGTACTAACTACTCTTTTATCACTTATTTTACTGTGATTTCAAATTTTACTAGTACATGTTTGTGGTATATAATGATTGTATTCATCATGCAGAGTTGGTATATGTATGTAATACCTTAATTCTTTTTATATTCCCTCCTACACTCCTTCCTCCATCTCTTAGTATTTTTTATTTGTTACAGAAATAATTTTATCTGCCTTTAGTCATAAAGAGTAAGTATATATGAATATAGATTTTTACTCCTCTTAGAGTATAAAAGTTGCAGTATACAAATATCTGCAACTTCTATCTGTAATCATTTTACATTTAATAGTATCTGGCAGCTTGGTTTATATGACTGCTTTCCAGCTCATGTCTTTTTTTCTTCTACTTGACTTAAAATAATGTAGGCAAAAAGTTTAAATACTAAATGGTTTGGGGCTGGGGATTTAGCTCAGTGGCACAGCGCCTGCCTGGCAAGCACAAGGTTGTGAGTTCGATTCCTAGTACCGGAAAAAAAA